CATGTGACGACCCCGGGCTGGACTCCGCTTCGTCCACGGTGAAAGCCGATCCGGCGATCCACAGCATGAAGTTGTTGTATTCCCTCAGCGACCAGCACGGATCAGCTCTAGGCATGACGAAGCAGATATCGTCCTCTTTTGGAAGACCAAACAAAGTAGTTTTGCTTTCACAACAAAGCACACAGTGCCTTCACGACATGGCGGCGGCGGCAACAATACTACAGCCAGAATAAAAGTTACGCCTTCTTTCTTTGCGTGAACATTTGGGTGGCGTTATGCAAACATTCCCAGATAGTGAGGTAGATATGTGGGGGCGTGTTAGAACGAGCCGTTTTAGGTAGGCGTGGCTGACTCTGAACTTTTATAAAGAATATCTCTTTGGATTTGAGACTTTAGTCTTTGCAACTTTACATATCTTCTTTAAGAGCTTGTAACACTCCAAAGAGAAAGGAAAAATTGAAATTGCATCATATGACCCCTTTAAACTAAACTCATTTAAGCCTGGCCAGTTTAAATATTAAAGAGCCAGAAGACGCGAACTCACGTGCGCAGTGAGAAGATCTGTGTGTGCGCTCATCGGAAGCGCGTGAACCCCCGTCTCAGAACGCGTGCAAATATTAAGCTGTCTGTGAAGTATTGTGTTTGAATGGACAAATTGTATTCCGCCAGGAGACACATTTTTTTCATGTCATCTTCATAAATGAAAAGTGAATCTTTAATGTGAATTTTACTGCACAGCTGTAACTAATCTCACTCCAGCCAGGGAACCAAAGCTGGCAACCCTGTGTACATATTAGGGGTGCAATGGTTCTCGGTAAAAAATGCACTAGGACCGCGGTTCAAATCTGGCAATGCATCTGTAATATGGTTTGTTAGAGTTCGGCTAATGCATGTTTCTGTTGATGGATACAAATTCTGGCTTCCCAATACATTACAACAAGAGCGATGAGAGACAAAAAACAATACGTGGACAAACCAGTCACTCTTTGTTCAATGCGAGTGCTGTATGCTGGAATAACTGTCATTTATCCCGTCATCACGTGTTGATAACACAGGTGAGACCTGAACAGCACACATTGCTGTCTGTATTTAAACTAAACTCATTTAAGCCTGGCCAGTTTAAATATTAAAGAGCCAGAAGACGCGAACTCACGTGCGCAGTGAGAAGATCTGTGTGTGCGCTCATCGGAAGCGCGTGAACCCCCGTCTCAGAACGCGTGCAAATATTAAGCTGTCTGTGAAGTATTGTGTTTGAATGGACAAATTCACTCAAAAATTATGTCAAAATGCCCGTCTTGGTGAGTATCCTATCAGACATAGTCTGCTGAACGTGCAGTATCAGTGCACTGGATCAGTGCGTTCTCTTAAAGTGACAGCACTTTCTTAATGTTTATCAAACAGCAACAACACGGAAATCACTCACTGCTCTTGATTGAATAACTTTTGTAACTTTAATAAGGATTCATCTTTAATTTATACAGTCAAATATGCAATGCTATTTTACATTTGATTACTTTATTCAATTTCTGTACATAAAAACTAATGTTAGGCCTACCTAAAAAAAAGCACTTTATTTTATTTGTATCTTTGCCCTATTGTATTTATTTGTGCTGTTGCTTGTAGTTAGATTATTTGTTATCTTCATTATTTTTATTTGACAATATAGTTTTTTCCCTAAGCATAGCACATACCGAACCGTACGGAAACCGTGACTCTAAAACCGTGATACAAACCGAACCGTGAGTAAGTTGAACCGTTGCACCCCTAATAGATAGATAGATAGATTAGAAGTATTTTTCATGGAATTTTTTTTCTTTTTTTTTTTAAGAGATTTTAATAAGAATAATAAAAAAATTCCATGGTAGCCAAAACATCTCTGATTGGTGGATCACTCCTAAGAATTCTGGGTAATATACTTCTTAACTGTGAATTCAGCTAATAAACACATTCTAGTTTTTACCTCAGAGCTTATTGTAGGACTTGATGATTTATGTTATTGTAAAAAAATCTATCCTTTTCTTTTTTTGTCATTTTTTATTTATTTTTTGCTGTGAATAGGCCTAAAAAGAAGTGTAAGATTAGAATTATTCTGTTTCATAGAGTGATATATATATGCACTGTATATGTACATATATTTACATAAAATTGCTGTGAAATGCATGACACATTTTTATCTCCAGAGAGAGATAGAGAGCAAAATGTGCTTAACAGGCAGACAGCACAAAGTTTGATTTCTGGGTAAAAAAAAATATACTCGTATTAATATATCTAATATATCTCAGACTGGATCTGTTTCATCTTTCTGACAGAAGACCTCTGATGTCTCTTTGTTTCTTTTTCAGCAACAGCGAAGGCTGGATCTTCTGACCATCACCAACCCTGGTGAGTATGCATATTTTGGTTTGTGCGCATGTGTGTTTGTTATTCACTGCACAGCACACCACAACAACATTGAAAACTTACAATGGGGCTTTACGGACAGGATTGTTTGTTCACATGGGTTGGTTGTGGGGGCTTTGTGACTTCTTTTACTTCTCACAACAAGCATCAGCTGCAGACCAAGAGAAAAAACCTGCAAAAAGAGGCCTTTTCCCGTGACTTGTCAGCATTTACGCGATCTTATCGTAGCACTCCTGGCATGCCTGTCCCAGAGCAGCAGGTACAGTCTGCGCTTCTGGGTCTCTATGGGAAGCTGAATGTTTTCTCAATGCATCTGGGTGAAAGCTGAAACTGCATTCAGAGCTCTGGGAGAGACAGATGGGGTAGCCAGGAAGGATGCAGCCCCCATATGTCTAAAATATCTGGCTGCTCTAATACACTTTGATTAAAATAATGTTTATGTAAGGCACATGGAGTAGGCTAATTTTCCCAGCTTTGCCTCAGCATCTGTTACCCAAAGCCACACAAGACTGTGCCGCTGACCTTCACAACTTCACAAAAGATATGCACGATGCAACATGGTTTTTAGCTTACCTCGTTTCGGGTTATATAACGAAAGTGACTTTTTTCCCACCTTACTCTATAGCCCTTGCCATTTTGGGAGGGTAATTTTGCTGATTTCAGCATGCAGTAAAACTCCACAATTGTGCACAAGCAGACTGCAGAGGGGCTCTGGAGAGCCATTGCGCTTTTTGCTGATCTAGAACTCCCCGAATGCAGTTATTAAATCTAACTGTTGAAAGAGCGACTACTAAACCGGTATTAGATCACCGAGCTACAGATGGGCCTAATGACTAATTGATGAGGTGAACAGGGTATTTTAGTTGCTATAAATGAAGAATCACTGCTGTAAATGAGCTCATCTGTTCCTGTCTTCCTCTATAAGCATGCAGCCTGGCTGCCTATTAGGATTCTGTGTACAAAGTGTATATGCAACAACGGTAACCTCTGACCTGCATTGGTCCTCGCTGAGTGTGACGGAAATTTGTTTTCCTGCTCTATGGAAAGCAGCTTTCATTTTTAGATGAATGAGACAGATACAGCAACAGGACACGCCGACCTATGCACATATTACATAGGTGTGAGTATATGTGAGAGAGGGATGATAAAAATTAACATACATGTATCCATCGTCCTTAATGAGATCAAGCAGTGTCCTTCCCGGTGCCCTTGGAGGTCTTTTCGGAGTACACCGAGTGCCAACCCCTCGGTCAGAACCTGCCGCTGTGGTTGAGGCCCTGTAGATCAGTGCGGAGGGGGTCTCGGTGCCCTGGCCCCCTCATTAGCTCTCCTGTGTGAAGAGTGCTTCCCACTCAACCCCTGCCAGACCCTCTTTAATTGGACACTTGAGCAGCACGATGTGAATCTGGCTCCATTGAAGCCTGACATTTCAAACAGCTGACCTTTCTAAGGCCAGAACAGCTAAAGAATGATTAGCCTCGCCCACCGTTCCCATCACAATGAAGAATGCAAACTAAACACTACGTACATGGCAGAAAAAAGGGATGAAGGAATTCTAGAATGAAAGGACTACAGTTGAAGAAAATACTAGTGAATATATATATTCATTCCCAGTGGAAAAATTCCCAGCTAAATGGTTAAATATATGCAAGAAAGAAGAGACCAGTAACAATTTAGTATGCAGATAAATGCAATAAAGTAGACCAATCGCAATTCATCATTCGTATTATGACAATCACGGCAGGTTTGATTTTAAATGGCAGACATTGAAACAATATCAAAAGGAAATTTTAAGACTTCAATCATATATATTTTTAAAACAGTATAGTTTTAATATACTTTAATATTTTTTTATTGTATTTTAAATATAAAAAAATCACACTAAATCACCTAAATATATTACCTAAAAATGATGATAATAATTATAATATATATGTGTGTGTATGTGTATGTGTGTGTGTGTGTGTGTGTGTGTGTGTGTGTGTGTGTGTGTGTGGATAAATTTATACAATTTTGCTGTACATAAATACAAATATTATTGGGGGAAAAAAAGAAGTAAAAAGGAAGGCAAAGGGAAAAAAAATCTCTCTGTCAGTGGAGGAGTTTTGGGCACTGTGATAGACTTGGGGTTGCGGGGTCTTAAGGGGGTTGCATTGTATTTGGAGTTTAGAGGGCGTCCGCAGCCAGAAAATTGAGTTCAGCCATCTTTTCAGAAAGGCTATTGTCGATCTATTGATTTGAATGCCCTTTTCATATCTGCATTCTCCGTTACGTTATTGTTCAGCGGGACAATTAACTTTGCTTGGCTAGTGTTTAGTCTCTGTGTCACTGCCCCCCCATGGCCACCATCTCAGCTGCGTTACAGGAAAAAGGTCAATTACAATTACATTCATGAGACTTGGAGAGATGTGCAAGCTCACTGTTCTGAGAACAGATATTAGACAACCTTCAGATCTTCTCAAATGCTGTGAGCTCTTGTTCTGTGCTAGACACACACACGCTCACACATGTGCTCTCATGTCTTCATCTGTGGATATATGTAAATGATCTCCATAATGAGAGCCTGTAAAGGTTCCAAGTCTGAGAAAAACAGCTTTCAATACTGTTGTTCTGTTCAGCTGCTCCTTTATTGACACGTTTACACTGACAGCTCAAAGTATGAAAATAAACTAATTATGATATAAACTTTTACTAATTAGAATTATACTCTGTTCATACTCTATCAATTCATAGATAAAATACATAAATATATTCTTAAAATGCAAATATATTCAAATATAAGATAAGTATGTGTGTGTGTGTGTGTGTGTGTGTGTGTGTATATAGATAGATTATATATATTAATATTTTTTGGTCTCCATTTTGAACAATAGTGTTTATTATTCTAGATTTCAAAACTGGACATATTTTTGTGGTGTTTTGTCTAAAAAGTGTGATTATGCTCTGTATAAAACAATTGCTACTTTGTTTGATATTTTGTTAAAATTATGCAATGATATTTAGTTACTTAAAACCAATATTAATATATATATTTTTTTTATGTTGATAATGAATTTGTAACTTTTTTCAGCAATAAGTCAGTCAAAGCCTTTTGCATTACAGTGATTTTTTACCACCGTAACACGCACAGTCACTCAAGGTTTATTGCTTTAGTGTATTTTGCATAAGAGCGTTTGGCCTAATGCATAAGAATGTCACATATTCAATGAATCCCTTCTTTTGCTGTGACTGGCCTCAGTGGCCCTCTGATATAAATGTTTAAAACACTTTCTCAGCCTGTTCCACCGCCCTGCCTGAGCAAATGTGTCCCTAAATGCTTCCTTGGCCATTTCTGTGATGGTGTCTGTATGGCATCCAGCAGTAAAACAGGTCTGAGCCTGATGGTCTCTGGACTGGGGCCGTGTGACCAGACACCCTGATGTTTGTGTTTTCGTGTCTGGCCACAGCAACTCTGGGCCAAAGCGGCAACTTGGACAGCTGCACCTCTCAGTGGCCAATACCTGCACCAGTGAGATCTGCCTTTAATGGAGCAGAGGGACCAAGCTTGGCACAGAGAGACAGAGATCAGGGGATAGAGAGGAGAAGATATAGTGCAAAGTACAGCCAGCGAGACTGGGAATGATCATAACCCATTTAAACTTCTCTGTGGACATTTCGTCTTAACATCCAGTTTAGTGACTGAATGATGGAAGGTGGTTAAAAGCGAATACAATGAAACAAATAAATAAATAATGAACAGCGGTTGGTAGAATCCACACAGAGATAGAGAAACCAAAACGTCTGTTCGGCTGCCTCATGCTGTCTATTTTCCAGTTGATTTTTTCCAAATGCACACAAAGGAGCATAGCGAAAGGGCTGTGAGCCTGTTAATGAAGAAAGAATAAGAGCGTTAATGTAGTCTGGAGGAGAGAGAGAGAGATGGTGTGTGCCGCTAGTCTGGCTTGGAAAATATTTGTAAAATATGCATCATTAAACCATTATTTAAAAACATGTCTGGAGCCCAGCCTTGAAGCTTTTCAACAACTAATGCCTGTAGTTAATATCCCCAGCCATGCAAATATCACAATTTCACGCCTTCTTCACATAATCAGCCATGGGTTTTTCTGTTTGCCGTGTGAAAACAAAACGACACGCTAAAGATACTAAATGAAAATGCAATGTGCTGTTTGCTATTAACTTGCATTTCTCTTTTCACGGCTTGCCATTTGTACGTATGCGTGTTTTTGCACGCGAGAAAAGGGAAGATATGTGGGAAAATGTAAATAGCGTTTTATCAGGCTTTCTGCGGAGACAGACTAGACAGCGATGACTGTTTCGTTGTCATCAGGGCCACAGCCATTGACAAGTGCAGCAAATCCATAAGGGGGGAAAAGAGTGAGATTTCAGGTTGGAGGACTTTTTGCTATTTCCTCCAGTGGCAGCTGGTGCTTTTCAAGAGCAGGGAATCACTCATCGATGACAAAAGGTGTACTGGGATCTGTGTTTTTATTTGTTGCTACCGAAAGCTGCTTCACACACTACTAAAAAGCAGTGAAAATACTTAATAAACATAATTAACCAAGCTAAATAACTGCATCTATGTTTCGAAGTTGACCATCAGACACACTGATTTTGCATTTATGTTTCAAAACAATGTCAGTCATTGTTGCAAAGACCCGCACATTTGAGAGCTCAGCCAATCATCATATAAAGAAGGAGGGGTTTGACCTGAGACATTAATATATTGATGGAAACCCCAGGGACTAATGAATTATCATATATTGTTTCTAATGCAAACATCATGATGCCCTTATAGATTTGATATTAGAATGATTTCTGAAGGATCATGTGACACTGAAGACTGGAGTAATGGCTGTTGAAAATTCAGCTTTGCCATCTCAGGAATAAATTACAATTTAAAATAGAAAACAGTTATTTTAAATAGTAATAATATTTCACAGCATTACTGTTTTTACTGTATTTTTTGCTCAAATAAATGCAGCATTGGTTGAGACTTCTTTCAAAAACATTTAAAAATCTTACCAAACCCCAAAGTTTGATTGCAGTTTTACATATTTTAGCATCGAATACCATGTTTCATTCAGAGATGCATCAAATTATGGAAGTAAAGTGTGTTGCAAAAGACAGTTTCACAGCATTACTGTTTTTACTGTATTTTTTGCTCAAATAAATGCAGCATTGGTTGAGACTTCTTTCAAAAACATTTAAAAATCTTACCAAACCCCAAAGTTTGATTGCCGTTTTACATATTTTAGCATCGAATACCATGTTTCATTCAGAGATGCATCAAATTATGGAAGTAAAGTGGGTTGCAAAAGACAGTTCATGTTGACTTTTTAAACAATGGACACTGGTTTGCTGCTAGAGAGTGAATAATAGAGGTGAGTTCAGATAAGGAACCTACACGGTCAGAAAGGGACAAAGAAGCAGTAATTGAGAGAAAGAAACAGGGATTATCCTGTGAGACTTCATCGCACTGAACTACCCCTGCTCTTTCTCTGCTGATTTCTTCCATTCGTTCTCAGCGGCTAGCTTGAGAGGAGACTTGATGTGGTTACCTGGTTACCGCCAGGCCTTGTTTGCAGGGTCACTTCATAAATTCCTTTGCTGGTGAAATGGTGGCATGCGTTGGTGTGTGTCAGCTCAACAAAGAGCAGTTCCCTCTCACGCTCCACCTGCTATTGGATCCACCCACGTACACTCAAACGTTAGCGCACAGTGATGGCCAACTATAGGCCTTGATTTTTACCGCTGTCATATTAGCACACCTAGTAAATCGGGACAAGAAATTAGCTACTCTTGGTAAACATTATGTCACTTCCCATTAGGGCTGAAGAGCTGAGATTGCTTAAGAGAGGATGAGAACCAGGATGACAAGAATTGCTCCTGAAGTGTGATGTCACGCTGTGAGTGTGTGGGGCCGCCTTGTTATCAGATGTTTTATCAAACAGCAAATGAGCAAAATCTGTGTCAGCGCCTATGATGTTGTTATTTATCTCTATCATCTATCTATCTATCTGTTGTTCTATCCATCCATCTTTGAAAACAAGGCCCTGTAAAGCCAACATTCAAAGTTTGTCTTGACAACTTTTTTTAAAAAATAGCAGTCCATTATGAGTAGTATGAATTTCTTTTAAATTCCATTCATTTTAATTTTACTTTCTTACATACAAATTGCAATTGCAATTCTGCATCCTGTCTAATTTATTTCAAATTCAGAAAAGTAACATCATCTTAACTTTACAATGCAGGTGTTCCCAGCAAGCACTGGGTTGTGAGTAATTGCATTTTCCCACAGTTTACTAGGGTCATTTGCGTCGTTGCTTATGTTGATGCTGTTGTCAAGCAACATGTTTTGTGACACCTTGAGTTCATTTTCTACTCAGAATAATTTGTGTTATTGTAGCACAAAAATAATTAGTGCTATTGTGTTTTGTGTGCGCGTTAAGGTTTGTGTGGGTAGCTGGTTCCACTGATTTGTACATATATTTCGTGAGGTTGCGTTGTTTCATGGATTGAATGTTGTACAATCAGCTCTTCACATTAAATGGCCTGTTTAAAGTGTGCTTGAAAGCTAAATCTGTCTT